CCAGATGAACTAGAAAAACGTGCTGTTAAATATTTACTTAGAATTCTTCTACAAATTTCCAGTTATCCAGAATATCTCAAACAATTAATTGATAATCATCAGTTTTGTCTAATCATAGAAAGTCTTGCCAATCGTCCAAAACGAGATGATGCAAAGCGTATTTGGTGCAATATTCAGCAAATTATGTCACCAAATGAACGAAAAAAAGAAATTTCATCAAGAATCTACATTAGCTATGATCGTACTGACGAAGAGTTTTGTAAAGAATTTGTAAAAGAGTTGCGTAAAAGAACAACAATACCAATTTGGGTTGACTATGAAAATGTTGACCTGTCTGATGATATGTGGGAATACGTATCTCCAAATATTATATCGACAACAGTGGTTATTATCTTGGTATCAACAGCCTATAGTGAAAGTACTGATAAATTTCAAGAATTATCTTATATCATTTCTACTAATAAATCAAGAGATGAAAAGAATGGCTTAATTGTAGTCGCAACTGAATCTAATTTCAATTTCAATCGATCTTGGATGAAAGAACTGTTACATGACAAGACTATGATTTTCTATGAAAATAATATTGATCATATGGTTTGGAACTTATGTAAACAGATTGGTGTGTTGAAGCAACCGCGAATTAAATGTCTAAATTGGCTATTCAAAAATGTACGAAGAAAAACAGCTCAATCTGATGATTTTTCAGTCAAAACTTTGAAATTGATTCCAGAAAATGATAAGTCTATTCACAAAAGGAATCTTCACAAGTAGACGATAGTATCGATATTTTACTTCCATCAAAAACACATAGTTCACCGTCCATTGTTACTGGACTAATGACGCAAACCGGATCCGTTAGTGGTTCAAACTGGGTATGAAAACGTGAAATAACACTTCTAGAATTTAGATTAAAGTTGGTTTGTATTTTTTAAGAAAAACATTGAATATCGCTTGTTATTTTAACTAATTTTTACTAATAAAAAATATATAATTTACGATATTTTAGCTCTATGGATTTCACATACATTATTATCATCGATTCACTGGTAGCTATTCAAGTTACGGGTGTGGGTGTGAGCGGGTTTAGGTAACGGTGTTCGTAACCCAGTCTAACCCTCACCCTGACCTATTTTAGCCACCCACTCATCATCACCCTCAAGATAGGATCTTGTGACGAGCTCTGTAATAGAATGCGATCATAGCTGTGCCAATTATGTACCTGTTCGCCGAAAACAAGATCACCGAAGACGCAGATTGCTGAGGGTGTGGATGTGCGTGTATAAAGGAAACGCAGTCAACCATACTCACATTTTAACTTACACCCACATCTCCAAAATACTCTAAATCAACAGATAGTAGCTTTAGCAAGACGAAAGATATACTGGTAGCAATATAGTTGTCGTGAGGTTCATCCGGACCCACAGCTACGTTTTCTGTCTACAAGACTTATCCATGATTTCTACTGAGAATGATATAGACCAACATATGACTAGAGATTAGATAAAAATATTAGCCTCAAATTGGAGCTCTTGATGCAATATTGAATAAAAAAACGAAATGAGTCCACGCGAATCACACAACAACCACGAAGGATAGGGTGTAGGTGCGTGTACATTCTTCATCTTATATATATATCGTCATCAGCCCAACCTCACCCACACCCACCCTCAAGATCATGAAACCAATCACACATTACGCGTTCACTATAATAATTAATTATCTGAATTAGTGACGAAAAACATGTCGTAGTTGATAAAATGATTTTCTCACAATCGAAAATGATTTCAAGTTTTATTTTAAATCAATGTTGTTTTTCTATTTTGTAGAGAATAATTTTTTTCAAAAATCAAATTTAATTTCTATAAATTGGAAAATCAAGCACTGCTGAGTTTATATAAATTCAATGAATAAATCATAAACTTATGAAATGCTTGAGCTTGTTTAAGATCTATTTTCCACAAAGTAGAATTTCAAAAAAATTTACAGTGTATCTTTATATGTAATAGAAAATATTTATAATTCTCAAAATATATGCGTTTATTTAGATCATAAAAATATCCAACAACAACGACGCTAATCTTCGCAGTCATTTAGGTCGTTTCCAAAAAATGTCGGAATTTCTATATCCATCTTAATAACAGCAACAAACTCCAAACCCAAATCCAATCAAATACGAAAAACGAACATTCTCTGATGAAGCTGTACATGATTGCATAGTTACCGATGGTCGGTCTTTTGGGGATTTTCGACGTCCTGGAATGACAAAATTATTGAATGTTTTATAACCCGGATAGTAAGTTAATAAACACATAAATCGTTAAGTTTGTCTGATTTTTCTCTAACGATTGTATGACGGAAATTTATATAAAAGTGCTTGATACATAAATTATTATTAGCTTAAGTTACTTAGAGTTGCAGGATTTTGTTTACAAAGTATAAATGTTTATTCTCTTAATACAAATATCTAATACATATTACAATATTATACACTGACTTCTTTTTAGTCGTGGTCCTCCGAGAAAAACTATTCGAAGCACCCATACTTCCGTTTATCATCAATATCGTGAAGAACTTCGATCAACACTTGCTGGTGTTAAAGCAATTGCGTTAACAGTTGATATTTGGACGAAGAATAAAACATTCTAATCAATTCCTTTTGTATTAGGCTTTAACTATTTTTTCGATCCACACCAAGCTGACAATATCAGACGTTATATCATTCATTGAATAATGAAATTACAGATTGAAGATATGTAAAGAGTAGGTATGTATGGATGTTCTACTTATTCTTACTCAACCACACACAC